GATCCATCCTGTTCTATGATCTCTGCTCTCAAGTAGGAAGTAGAAAGTGTGATGAGGGCTCCAGGCTACCACTAATTCTGTTCTTAACTACTAGGGGAAACTTGAAAAAAAATCTCTCACACACACACACACACACACACACACACACAGAGGCAGAATTCTAAGGTGGCTCCCAAGATTCCAGCTCCCTGTTGTACATGCTGTTTATAATCTTCTCCCCTCAGGTGTAGGCAGGACCTGTAAATATGATGGGATATCACTCATGATTATGTTAACTTAAATGGCAAAAGGGATTTTGCAGATGTAATTCAATTTACTCGAGTTTGAGTTAAGAAAAGAAAAAAAAGACTATCTTTGTGGTTCTAATGCAATCACATGAGCCCTTCAAAAGCAGAGAGCTTTTCCTGGTTGGTGGTAGAAGGGGAGGCGGAAAGATTTGAGATGTGAGGGGGAGTTGACATGAGGGAGTTATCTATGGCTGAAATGGAGGTGGCCATAGGTCAAGGACCTGAGAGCAATCCTGGCTGAGAGCCTCTAAGATCACAGGCACCTCTGTCCTACAACCACAGGAAATGAATTCTGCCAACAACCTAAATGAGCTTGGAAGCAGATTCTTCTCCAGTCTTCAGGTAAGAACCCAGTGTGCCCAGCACCCTGATCTCAGCCTTGTAAGACCATAAGCAGGGAACCCAACTGAGCCTGCCAGGACTTCTGAACTACAGAACTATGAGTTAATAAACAAGCATTGTTTTAAGATGCTATGCTTGTGGTAATTTGTTAATCAACAATAGAAAATTAATATATACAATTTTCTTCTGTTCACAAAAGTGAAATGTATTCTTTGTAGAAATCACAGAAAAGCACAAAAGAGAAAGTAAAAGTTACCTATAATCCCATTAAAGATAACCTCTGTTAATGTTTTGTTGTACAAGCTTTTATTTATTTTCAGTATATGTGTACAAGGTTGCATGTTCACATACAAATACATCTACATCAATATATTTTTTAGCTAAAATGTATATGTTGATCATGTGATATGTGCTTTTCCCCTTAACAGTGTATAACATATATTTTTCAGTTTAGGAAGTACATTTTTAATTCCCTATCTAGCTAAGTACATGAGAAAGCACTGTCTACTGAGAAAGGCTAGAGATGGGAGTCAGATGCAACTCTTTTACAGAATCTGGAAGAAAGTTTGGGGCCTGAGTAAACTATAACTGGGGCAAGGTAGATCAACTCCAACTGTTGAGTTTGCCCCCAAATTCTTTCTTCTCTCCCACCTCCCTCTAAAAATTTTTTTGATGCTGATATGAAGGTTAGAATAGACCTTGGGCAACTGGCGCATCTGCAAAGCAAATCCTGAGTGTGAGTCTGGGACAAAAGATTTTAGGAGCCCTCAGAATACTATGGGATGAAATGCTTGAGAATCAACAATACCTACCAACCAACCATCAATCAATACCTACCATGTGCAAAACACTACTCTAGGTGTTATAAGTGAATGAAATTATTTCTTTTGATGTCTGTTCCTTTTAAAATGGTGAGTTTTTTGAAGGTGAGGCCGTATCTTACTCATTGTTAAGTTTTTAGTATCTATGAGAGTGCCTAGCATGCTTATTGCATAAATGCAGTAACTTTGCAATCAAGCTGGGGCAATAAGAAGCTTCTCTTTTGCATGTGGGTTACATTCTTCTACAAATAAGCTGTCTGGAAGCTGGAATGCATTTTTTCATCTCAACAATCATGGGATAAATAGTGGTTAGCCCAAGCCAGCTGACAAAAAACAACCCATAACATAACTGAAACTGTCATATTTCAAATGAAAAGAAATAGAAACATTCCTGCTGAAAGTGTTACTATGGTAAAATAGGAAGTCAGAAGGGGGGTTACCTGAGGAAAATGAGTTCCACTGTAGACATCCTGAAATTGTGCACTGGGGGAGAGATGTGGTTGGAGATGAAGACCTAGCAGTCATCACTAAGAGGGAGACATAAATGGAGGCCCATGCATGATGCCTAAATATTTAAAAGCTATACATCTGGCTACAAACTGCTAGATAAAATATATTCTGCCCTCCTACTTTGACAAATGTACATTATAATGACCTGGACAGCCAAGGCCAAATTTTATATACTTGGATTCCTCATAGTTCTGTGCTAGAACACAGCAGCATGGGCAGTACTGGCCACTGGCCTGCAGCCCGTGCCCTCCTTTCATGGCTGGCTCTGTTCCCTACCATGAGGTGCCTCACATACACGTGTGTGGACACCCAGCCCTCACATCCACACTCCCCCATAACCCTCTGCTATGGTTTGAATGTCCCCTCCAAAGCTCATCTTGAAACTTAATCCTCATTGTGAAAGTATTAAAAGGGTGGGAACTATGACTACGGTATCTGGAAGGTGGGGCCTTTAACACGTGATTGGATCATGAGGACTATGCCCTCCTGGGTGGATTAATCCATTCATGTATTAGTGGGTTAATGGTTTAATGGGCTATCAGGGAGTGGACTGGGGCTTTCTAAGGAGAGGAAGAGGGTGCCTTTAACACGTGATTGGATCATGAGGACTATGCCCTCCTGGGTGGATTAATCCATTCATGGATTAGTGGGTTAATGGTTTAATGGGCTATCAGGGAGTGGACTGGGGCTTTCTAAGGAGAGGAAGAGGGATGTGAACATGCTCTTGCTCCCTCACCATGTGATACCCTGTGCCACCTCAGGGACACAGACAGTCCCCACCGAGAAGGCCATCACCAGATGCACTCCCTCAACTTTGGACTTTCCAGCCTCCCAAACTGTAAGAAATAAATTTCTATTCTTTATAAGTTACCCAGTTTCATTTATTCTGTTATTAGCAGCAGAAAACCAGACCAATACACCCTGCATACAGTTGTCCCTTGGCTACACTTCAAACCTTAGGGTGCTCACACCACTGGCCAGGAAGGTGAAACTAGGAAAGAGGCCCACACAGGACCTGGAAGCAGGCTTGGGGTCACTTGATCATAACAGTTGGGGATCCTCGGTACAGGAGTGTGATCTAGAAACAGACTCTAAGTGGGTATGCCCCTTTGACCCCATAGACACTGCACCTCATAGGAGGGCATGATCAGAGGAGGGCCACAGACAGGGGGCTGGGGATTATTCTGTGCCTGATTTTAAGGTTTTTCTTTTTCTTTTCTAATGCAAAGGATCATACAAAAGAATTATGAGGGAAATTTATCAATAAGTTAAACAATACATTAAAAAAGGTCAACAATAAATGCTTTTTAAGGATGTAACACATTCCATATATGAAAGAAAATCTTTTTAGTATAGTTTGCTATCTACGTAGTGAAAAGGTAACAACTAAACTTGAAACCTAAAAGCTGTTCAGCATAGGAAATTACTGGCTTGAGCATATGCCTGACTAAAGTCACCCATGTGTTCAGTGCTAGGTTTGGCACAGAGGTGGAGAAAGCCTGCACAATTCTTCATGAAGTATGCTCAGGGGAGGCCCTGACAAGTCTGATTTGACAATGGTCACAGCAGGAACTGTTTGTAGCTAAGAGGAAGGTTCACCTGAGAAGGTGCCAGGCAGGCTGCTTTCATTAAGATCTCACACATGAAGGAATAAGATGGGTTCCCTGACATGGAAGTAGGTTTCTTATAGTGGGCAGAGGTGAGAGGGTTGTGAACGTATTTGACTTTTTCCTTTCGTTTAACTGATGGTTAGAGTTCTTACTAATCAGATGACAGTGAATGAGACTATAGAAATCTTTAACCATGTGGTCTGTTCACAGGGTCAACATAACTGGTCACTGCAAGGAAAAAAGTTGCTAGCTAGTTATAAAACAAATAGCAGTCCACAAATAGAGTCATTGAATGCTCTTTATCAAAACAAGATACTGACTGATTAAAACCTTTAGAAACATTTTAGCAACTATCTATTACTTGATTGATTGATTGATATATCTACCACTTACATATTTGACCAGGAGAAAAAAAAATACTACTATACTTTTTCAGGCAAATGAGATGAAGATAGGCAAGTTGCAGAGCTCTTTTTCTTCCTTCCTCCTTTCTTCCCTCCTTTTTTTGTTGCTCTTTTCTTTACTGTGGCAAGGAAAGTGCAATTCGCAGAAAGATCAGCCTTTGTCTGTGTTTAGTTAGTATCTCAAAGGCCAGAGAAGACACCTGAGAGACAGAATGGGGCTTATAAC